ATCCAAATCCTCTACCACTGCGAGCTTTATACATCCAAACTCCCGCCTCGTGTCATAGGTTCAAGTAAGGATGCTTGCTTCTTGTGCAATACTTTCATCAAAATGCATGAAAAATTTCACACGCCTCGGGGCCACGGTCGGCTGTACCCTGGATGGCGCCTACCGTGTCTGACAAAACACGACTCTTTGCAGCAGAGATTCAACCTGACATTAGACGACTGCCTGCAAAAGACTCTCACAGATATAGCTCTCAGAAAGAAAAGATTACTGTATCCAGATCCGAATGAGAGCACTCTTATCACACTTCATAGCTCACAGTCAACATTAACAGAACAAATTGAGGATGAATCTGTTGTCGAGAATGAAGAGCCAGCAGATATCTCTTCAATCTCTGCAAACTCTGTCGAAAATGCTAGACCTACGACAGCACCTGTCCATGCGCCATCAACTTTGCCAGAACAAGAAGCCCTCAAGATACAGACAAATGAGAATCAGGCTCCTATCTCCCAAAAGTCACCAGAAGCTATTATTGATGTTGGTTTGAGTAGCACACTTTCTCCACCGTTGGAAATCCTTCGCTCAAATTTGGCTCCACCGCTATGGAAGGCTTCTCTTGAAGAATGCACTCTGCGTCAAGGTCAGGTGGACATAGGGAGCATTGAGGCCAATGCCACGTCGGCATTCTATACAACGTCTGAACTCGAGGTCCAAATCGAATATTCAACGAGATCAACAGAAAAGCCAAGATGTCTTGGTTACAGTGTGGAGTGGTTGACTTTCGAGGCACTAGACCGGCTCCGAGAGCACAGAGCCGTGTCGATTGTAGATGCTGAGGGTCTCGATTGTGAAAGCACCCAGATGGACAGCCATGGATGCCTCTATATTTCAGCCAGAAACCACGTCTTGAAGCTTTCGTTTTCGTTCGAAGCGATACGTTCAACATAGATTTTTTAGCGAATTCCTAGATTGATTCGGGATTACACTCCTCATAAACGTTGATTCTTGAAAGATGAAGACATTCAACATCGGAGTCCAACGCTCATCAAGACTTCGAAGTTTTTGTTTTTTACCCGAAGTTTATCAACTTTCACGAAGGTAGTAATCCCTTGTTGAGAAGGTAATGCTACCTGTGCGAAATTAATATTTATTACTCCGGTCAAGAATTATAGCATAGCGTAGACGCTCGGGGCCCGATTTCTCGGCTACTTTGGGACTGGACTTCAGCGACTGCGCGGAGTGGCATCCATAGCCGTTGCCGCTGGTTAGGTTCACCCAACGTTCCGTTCGATCTGGCTCACTGGTGCTGCACGATAAATCATATAAACAGCTAGGGTCGCTGCGTACATACGAAAATCGTCTAAGGGTCCTTCTCAGCAGGTTAGGAGTATCCGATACCCGATTTATGCGTAGCTTCATGAAGTACGGGACGACACTGTTGCCGGAATGTATTAGATAGCATGACACTGTTCACCGGATACCTCCAAGAAATATGACAAATGTGTTGCAAGCTCAGGAATTGAAAGCATCGTGTGCCAAGCTAAAACTTGTCCTCTACCAGAGCTTCCAGAGTTTCACGTATTCCTTCCTCAAAAGTTGTCCAATCGTCTCCTTTCCATTTCCAGAGCAAGTCTCTCGCTAAGGACGAATCGGTGGTATGTAAAAGTTTGCCCATTCCCGGTAAATTCTCGATAAATTGGCGATTCGGATATAACTTTCTCATCACAGCCAGTGCATCGTTCCAGTTGAATGGTACGGCCCAAGCTTGGATGCGCTTGCTCCGGACGTTGGGGTCTAGAGTGGCTGCAACGTGCAGAGCAGCCACATCCTTTACATTGGTGTATATATCTAGGAAGGGTATGTGAGTATATATCTATGAGGATCCGTTTTGAGGACTTACTGGCTGGCACATTGGCAACATCACTGGGGTCCCCATAGAATAGCCCCTTAAACCATGTAGGAGTTCCTCCAGGTCTGAGATGATTCTTGTGGAGCGGGGTCCCGAAGACCATTAAGGGGCTGACAGTGTTGACGTCAAAGCTCGGGGTTTCTTTCGACACAAAATCCCACATTGTTTTTTCTGCCTCTATTTTACTCGCGAAATACACGATCATCCCTCTGACTTCCTCATACGGTGGAGGAGCCCAAGCTAGGTCGACAGCCGCATCGTTCCAAGTTTCAGGTCCAACACGTACCTCGACTCCAGGAATAGGCATAGCTGCTGTTACAAATGATGACGTAAATACAAATCTTTTAACAGAAGCCTCTAATGACGCTGCTTGGAGTAAGGTTTTCATCCCAATGGTGTCTTTTGGTATGACATTGTGTGGATTGGGATCCAGTGTGGAGATGGTGGCCACGTGGATGATAGCTGATACCCCTTTAATAGCATCATCGAAAGCCCCTTCAGTTCCGAGGTCCGGGACTTGTACTAGTGCGAAGTTACCCAGACGTGCCTCTTCTGAAAACAAGTCTTCGATAACCCACCCTGTTTTATATAGATCTCTGACAGTCCCTCGAACCCTAAAGCCTCTTGCGAGAAACTCTTTGATTACATGGGATGCAATGTAACCATTTGCCCCGGTAACCAAGACCCATGATCCCTTCGGTATTGTGGCCGTTAAGTCGGCCATGACATTGCGAATAATTCTCGACACTGACTTCAATTACCCTTGAGAGGAGATAGACTGTCTAAGATACGGCGTCAATCTTACGTCGGTCGTCTGTGTATTTATATCTCCCTCAGAGAATCGCGGATGCCCCTCTTGCATTGTATTCTATCAAACGCGAGCCATCCGGAACAGGAATATGCAACCTTTTAGCGATGCGCTTAGTGGCTATTGTCCTTATTTCTAACAATACCTTCTTGCCGCAATATTTCTATCACACACGATATCGTATCGAATAACAGCCTTTACGAACCCAGTAACAAAGGCTTACGCGGTTTACACTAACTCGGGGTCAATAGTATCTCAGCTGAACGGGCTAGACCAATTCAAGAATGTGTAAGACTGTCCCTTATTGGTTAGCAGTGAGATCTTACGATATGGGCAAGGTATCACAATGCTGACGGGCTTAAAGACGCGGAAGTTCCTATATTACTAACGCCTCCTCGCGTATTTGTAGACTAACACTCCAGTCAATTTGCACCATTTGGATCTACAACTTCTCAATTCAGTGAATCATAAGGTAAAGAACGAAAGTTGCTGATTTCTGAAGTTCAAGACATGCGCCAGAAACAGAAGGCACCTGGCAGCAGTCTGCAGGTGCCCGCATCGTTGCACTTCATCCACATCGAGCACCCGAGTGATGCCACCACGACGGAGAGCCTGAAGCAAATTAGGTCACATGTCGCAAAAGACATTCATGCTCGATTAAGGCACGATAGGATCTGTCGACAGAAGAGCCGGCCTAGCACTCACCATGCTCCGGGAAGCGAGGAAGACGAGGAGAACGCAAGACTCAAATTTCAGAGTGACTTCATCTCCGAACAGAAGACGATCAACACATCACGAGGGGCAGTTCGGCTAAGACGGATTGCTTCTAAATTGAATCGTAGATATGTGCCGGTGTTAAGCCCGACCGAAATCATATGTTCGACGCGTCAAGATCCGTTCGATAGCTTTGTGAGGCCACTTTCAAGCACTGAACATTTCTTAATTGATCACTGTATGACTGAGCTGTTACCTTTCTCAATTGTTCATAAGTAGTGACGAACTTCCGAAACTGACTACTCATAGATATCAATTTTGTCGTTGAAAATGGATACCAGCATTGCGAACACGATGACTTGATTTTCTTTTCTGGGATGCAAACTCATTACGTGCCGTTTTCTCTGAGCGAGAGTGGCATGCTATCAACCATCTTGCTCTCGGCTTGTCGCAGCCTACTTCGTCTCGAATATAAAGGCTACGATTACAACCAATTAGCTCTGTCGTATAAGGGGCATTGCATCAAAACGGTCAATGATGCACTGAGTCAAGAAGCCAGAGCTACTAGTGATGCTACTATCGGTGTTGTCTTGTCACTTGCAGCTGACGATGTGAGTTTTCTAAACCATAAGCTTCAGTCCTTCGGGCTCGGCAATCGGAGGAAGCTAATGAGACCGTGGCATAGATGTTTATAGGTGATACGGCTGGTTACTGTATGCACGCGGATGCACTGGTGCGAATGGTCCAGTTGAGGGGTGGTATGGGATCGAGTGGCATGGCAGGATTTCTAGGTCATCTCCTTCAGTGGTCGGTTTATAACCCGAAATGGAGGACGACTGTTCTCAAACCCGACCGCTCCGGGAAGATGTCGGTGCACCAAGTCGAGCAATCCAGCTAATTTATTAGGCAACATGATGGCAGTTTGTTCGCAAGTAATTGGGATACATCGCGCTACTCTGCGGGCAATGATGTTTAGCCGGAGTAGTTTCCCACGAAACCCTTTTGTCCCAATACGCTCACACTTCAACAAATCCTGGCACCTGCAGGGAAGTGCCGGGCTGCGGAGATCCAGTTCTCCCTAAACCTCGTAAGAGTTTTACCCCGCAATCTGCTGGGTGCTTCGTCGCATTCACGATCTCTTGGGGTTCAATAGCGCAAATCTTTCATTGGCTGATTGAGGTTTGTAATCGATTTCTCAGCTTCAAATCTCCTGTGCCGACCCCTTGGTCTTTATTTGTCTGTGCCAGGGCGCCAATCGAGCCTGTCTGCTAACAAATACGCTGCCGGACACTGCGGAATGAGAAAGTTCACGCTGTTTTCCTTTCCATTGTGATCCTTCGGAGATGACCTAATGTTCGCGGTAACTAGATATGAAGCCGAAGTGCTGTAGCAAATAAGTCGTAGTGTTAAATATTCGTAGATTTTCCCTGCAAATATACTTTATACATACTTGATAAGGTGTGCTCACTTTGATCTATCCTACTAAATATCATGACGACACCGACGATTAAACATGGAAATGGTACGCAGGACGAAGAAAAGGGGCTGCAAAGAACAGCCACAGGAGTCACTATGTCTCCCGAACTCTTCGAGAAGGTACCGCTATTCGAGAACCGTAACCGATAAGTTTCTCACTCTTGGTAGCTTTATCTCACCCCCAAGGTCCCACACGTTGGCGACTATAATAAGAGGTTTGCCAATCCGACTGCACTGGGATTCGTAGGGTAAGTAGAGAAACTCCGCTGCTCTGAAGTAGCAGTTGACAATGAAAAGCTTCGTTATTTCAACATTCACATTTGCTATAATATTGATGGGATGGGGAGGCGCACAGGGATTTTCGCCTGTAGTGTATGTCAAAGTATGTGGTCTTTGATAGATGCAGACTCTAACAAAATTGTAGTGGCATTTTCTTTTTCGTCGGACCTGTGCTGCTAGTATTTGCCATGGTCTTCGAGTGGGTCATGGGTAACTTCTTTCCGATGATGGTCATGGGCTTATTTGCCGTATTGTAAGTACCATTACAGCGACTTGTTTGCTATTGCTTCAATATTGTGCCAACGAGACCGCTCTGACTTATTTTCTGTAGCTGGCTGTCATTTGGTTTACTTCAGTTGCCAACCCTTCAACTCGGCTCACCCTATGCCAGCACGACTGATCCTACTGGATTGGCCTCACCTGAATACAATGCAGGTGTCGCACTCTACCTTATCGTTTGGGGGTTTGCACTATTCACCTTCTTCATCTTCACACTGAAGATCAACACCGTCTTCGCTATGATTTTCCTTCTTGTCAGTGTTGCAAGTTGGGTCTTGTCCGGGGCGTATTGGAAAGTCAAATCCGGAGACTACACTACAGCCGGGCATCTTCAAAAGGTTATCAATTCTTGTTTGCTTCAAGACTAGTGGCTAATACTGGACTAGGCCGGCGGGGCATTATTGTTTGTCGTTGCTGCACTGGGCTGGTACATGTGCTTCATGTAAGTTTTGAAGTCATTGAATTCTAAATAAAGTTGACTAACTCTTGTTGCAGTATCATGGCTGGCGAGATGAGAATAACTCTTCATCTTCCCGTTGGAGATTTGAGCCGATTTTGGCCGACTGCTGACGTAGATTTGGCAACCGCAGAGCATCGGGACTAAGATAAAAGCCAATGACGGACCGACTACATACAGCAATGCTCTTAGCAAGATAATAGGAGGCGGGCGAGTTCATGAACTTGGAAATCATATGCTGCTTCAACGCAAGTTGAATAATTGGTCTTCGATATCTAATTGCAACGGGGATTGTCGTAATTCCACTTGTAGGCGTCTAAAATGCCATACATATGCACTATACCTCCAGTTACTACGCATATATGGAAAAGCTGATGAGATGCACCGAATATGTCAAACCGTTGAGGCGTCCAGGATTCAGGGAAATGCGTCTAGTCCTTGTTTAGCCACATATACTTCACGAAAGCAGCCTCAACAATTTACACTTACAGCATATGTGACTGCTCCTAGTAAGATGATGACTCCCTCAACGTAGTAGTATCGAAGGCCAGCTTGCTTGTCCAGCTGAGTATATGGAAAAATGGTTGCAGCATGAAGTATTGGCGCAAATGCAGATAAGCCGGTCGCGATGAACGCACCAAGTCGCAAGCTTCTCGACTTGACATCTTGAAGGCGCCGATGAACTACGATAAAACCACTTAAAAAAGCGAGCAAGACAATCTAAGTAGCGGATGAAAGTTAAACAGCAAGTTTTATTGAGGCTGGAGCTGATTACTCACCATGGTCCAGTAGACTTTTTGTAGACCTGGCTCGCAGTAGAAACCAAGATAGATCCCGGAAATGAAAGAACCGAGAATCTGAAGAACGATTGTTGCATAGTCTAGCCGGACCCAGAATCTTGAGTATGACTCTGAGTGGCATAGCAGTATATGATATAACGAGGAGACACCGAAGCAGACAGATGATGTTGCGAGGTAGATGTGAAAGATCAATCGATCAGCGAAAGCGGCATTGGGAAACGCTTTGGAAAAGTAGACATGTAATCTTGTATTCGCGGCCAGCGCAAGTACGGCCGGAATCAAATGCGAATATATATTTACTGTCTCATTGTGAACGTAACCGAGGCTTGATACGCAGGCTGCCACAGAACCAGTAACAGGCCGATAGCCAACCTTAACAAGGTTATTTTGAGTATACCAAGCAGGAACTTCCTTTCTGGTCAGGAGCTTGAAACCTCTAGACGTGTCAGCCTGTAATTCATCGGATGAAGTCCTTGGCCCTATGCCTCGCTGTTTGAGGCGTGCTGTTCGTTGAGGCATAGGACAGCGCGAACCTCTAGTCCTGTATTTATGAGCAGGAAGACTGCGTGTAGATATAAGTCATGCCGTTCTATTGTTGGAGACGATGAGATTCATCGTAGCCGAGTTCGGTAAATTTTGAGGTTCTTTAGGATTGCAGCTCCAGAAATCGGAAGGTTAGTGGACGAACCGGCATCTTCGGAAATAGCTCCTGCTCCACCTCGCTGAAGTTAGAACAAATTCGGATATCACTTGACTAAACAGGACAGCTAGTTCATCAGAAAGGTTCATTGGATCAATTTTCTCACCAGCAGCAAGTCCGATGCAGAACCATGGGGTCCATACTGGCGGCTCAGCACCCATCTACAGAACTGGTATGTTGACTTGAAAAAGAACAAGGTGGTTATTCATATGACTATTAGCAACAGGAGAAGCCTCATTTCCGATTTGCGGTTCACTTCTGGATGAGATAAGAGTTATACCTTGCGCATGTTAGTTTCGTGGCCTCGAGTGGCCGTTGCACTTGAGGTGATCTATGCTATCGTGGTTCCTCGCCGTCTGGACCTCCAATTCATAGGCCAAGTGCAGACAGATACATTCTACGAATGACTAGGAGAAGTTTTCGATGTGCACCGCAACTAGTCAACCCGATGACTCATAGCTCATATTTCGCGTTGACGATAATCCTTGATAGACTGTTGTTTGCTCAAAGTTCATCGCCACGTCGGTTCAGACATCATTCATCAAGGAGGAAGAGCACCGTTTACTGCTGGTGATTGCATGCTTCCGAGGTCCTTTCTTCAAGGCACCCGCCTTGATATGTGGTTCGATTCGGACCGAGGCTCATATTCTACATATCTTTCGAGATACCTGCGCATGACGCTACACAAATCGAGTGCTCGCACTTAAACGTGTTCTGAGCCTTGATCATTCAATTCGTTCAGTATTCCTAGTGCAGAAACATCGCGAAAAAGACCGCAATCCAGGCACGTTCCATGGATATCATCCCGAAAAGCTTCTACAATACGAAGGGAAAGGGTGAGCTTCGAGGCGATATGGTATCTTGTATCAACAGCAATTGCCGAAAAATGAAATTAATCCATTAGTTGGGCATTCGAAGGTGGACAGGTATTTAGAAGATGAAGGCGACAAAGGATAAATGCCCTTTTCTTGATTGGTGCCCATATTAGACACAATTTACCGATCTCCGGGGAAGCAATTTATGACAGCCTCTATCAATATAAATGGTATGCTATGAATTTATCCATGGTATGTACTATTGAGTAACTGAGCAGCTTCACTGTGACTGGATTTGATCTACTATTTTTGTAGCGGAGCTCCTAAGCTCCTAAGCTAATTAGGCATGTAGATTTATTGTAAATTGGGGTCCTGGAGCTTGGAATAAGTAGTCCTCCCGCCTGATCGCTTTATAAGTCTATCCTTCTCCACCCATGAATATCCCGATACTCACCCTGACCTGAAACGTTCATCGATGTACCGGAAGAAGGCTAAGCAGAGACAGTCAAGATGTTGAGCTCTTCTCTTATTCTCTTGGCGCTTGCCGCCACAGGTTTTGCACAGGCACCCGAGGGCTATCGGACAGTATACATCACGTCAGCTGTGAATAGCAATTTCGTTGTGGTGCCTAAATCAGCAGCGGCTGGAAGTACTCTAGTTGTGTAAGTCTGGTCGCACAGATGTTTCAAACTGGCTGTAACTCATGTTGATGTCCAGGCAAACGCGCACGAACAAGCCGGATCAGGCATGGTATCTACAAAGCGGTGCAAGCTCTATTCAGTTGGCAAATTCGACTCTGTGCTTGGATGCCGGGGCAAAAAGTGAGTCATAAGCGTTCAGACACTCATTGGGTCATGTCTAACAATATTCAGCCAATTGGAAGGATATGGGAAATATTTACCTTCAAACCTGTTCTGCCACAGTAGATGCACAGAAATGGAACGTTATGGCCGATGGGCGAATCGCCCTCGTAGGCTCAAGTCCGCGTAAGTGCTGACACCCACTGAGAGACACCACAGTGAACTGATGAGAACAATAGAAGAGTGCATCGACCTGCAATATATGCAGGCCAAGGCCAATAATCCAGTTGGCTTGTATGCGTGTGCAGGACTTGGAAACACTGGCGCCGCGGATAAAGGAATTAACTGGCCGTTAGTTAACGCTACTGCATAGGTTGAAGATTTTACTTATGAATGCGAGAATTTGATGAAGAATGAGAACTTTGTAGTTATTCAAAAAGCAGAGTGAAGTATCAAGTGGTCAACTGCAAAGATGCCATTCAATATGAACAATCTAGAGCAATCGATTCTCATATCTGCCTTGGACTGCCATACATAACATTGACTCTTCTGAGATCTTTCTTTTCTTCGAGGGCATATTTGATCATTATTAAGGCGAAAAAAGAACTAGTGTTGAAAACCCCAGGCAGTCAATATATAGTATAATGTTACGGATAGAGTTGAACATACTTCATAGTGTAACGTCGTTAAGAATTGCCCACTCTCTGTCAAGAATTGAAAAGAGATAATGGTCATACCACTTGCAATTTAGGTAGTATGATTCTCGCTTCACGCCTTCTTGAACAAATCCAATCCGCTTATAAAGGTTAATTGCCCTCTCATTAAATGAGAAGCAAGTCAATCGCACAGAGTGCATTCCAGCGATTCGAAATGCCCAGGCAAGTGCCCATTTGATAGCTTCTGTACCATATCCTTTCCCTTGATACTGCGATGAAACCATGATTCCAAGCTGGCACGATCGATGATGGCGAGTCATTGCATGTCCATCAAGATGGAGCCAACCAATCATCTTGGCCTCTCCGTCTGGCGTCTCTGGGATCAGGCACAATTTGACAGCAAGCAAGACGCTTGAAAGTCTCTCCAAATCTTTGTCAATGTCTTCCGGTCGTAGGGGCACAAGAAGAAGGTTAGTGCCTTGTGCGTATGTTGCGGGGTCGTCGGTCATCATATTGACCATGAAGGCTTTTTCTTCGGCACTTTTCTCAATTGCTCTAAACAAAAGGCGTTCTGAGCGGAATAGGAGATTGAAGTCCATCCTGATAGTCTGATCTCTAATGCGCAGTCGTTGTAGCGTGAGGCTAGACTGAGATGGATTCATCGTCGGCTGAGGTTGCTTATCACGACCATGGACCAGTGCCGCACTTACGCATGCACGGATAGACTTGGCAGGGAACTTAGACCAAGAAGCATGACAGAGACTTCCCCACGGTATGGATAATGCCCACATGCCGCCATATTGTCCCCAGCCAAGAATTATTGACTTGTGCAAAAAGAGCATACGCTATATGCATGACATTGAACGCACTATTGGATATATGGAGTAACCATTTTGAACATTTGCACGACTGAAGGCTGGGATATAATCAGGCTATAACTTTTTACACAACCGGGTACCATATTCAATCACGTCCCAATCCTCGGTTCCAGGTGTCGCTATCGCGTAAAAGATGCCATTAGGATCCCATTTTTTCCGTATGTCGTACAGTTGCTTGTAATTAGTTCCATAGAAATGATCTTGCCAGTTCGGTTGGTATGGATCAGCCTGCTTGAGTGGTGAGTTGTTAACTTCAAATGAAGTCAACTAGGGATCTTACCTCGTTTACGTAACTACAGCCGTTTGGCCCTGCTTTCCTGAACTGTTCATCAAGATCGTACGTAAGGAGCTTCTGTGCTGCTGCTTTTTCCGCCAATGTAGCATTGCTAGCAACAGGCAGAGCTATAATGACGAAATCGGAGGAGTTGCGGAAGCGTGGATTCGTAGAGCTGTTTGGCACAGGCCAGCCGTGCCCAGCGTCCCATAAATGGCCAACCA